CACACACCAAAAATACAAAGTCAATAAAAAAACAGTAAATTCAGATATATGTAGCTTAAAATGAAATAAAAATAAAGAATATAAGTTGCTTGTTCCTTGAATATTAGAAGAAAATGTAGTTCCTTTGAATATTAAATAGAAGATTTTCAGGCCTAGTGTCTTTCTTTGTTCAATGTTAAATCTCTTGCCATGTGCTGTCTTTGTGTAAGTGTCTGAAGTGTAGGTATGTCTGAATGAAGTGAAGTGTATAGAAGGTAGGAGAAACTGAACCTCGTTCTTTGAAAAGCTGCATACTTAAAATGCATGAGAAATTAGGTCCTCCCATTAAGCTTTGTTTCAAATTCGCGGGCTCCTTAAACACTCCCATAATCACTCCCAGCTTAACTAAAGACATGTGTTCCTATTCAAACCACCAAGTCATTATCATGATTGACATACAGGCTCTGAAAGAGATCTCTGAAGTTCTTATGTTACATACAACTGTCGAAATCCATGATTTATGACTACAATTTAAACTCTCAGACTCATTATAAGAATTCACAATATGGTATACTGTTACATAGAGTATTTTAAAAGAAAACATGAATTTAAACCTCTGCTGATTACCTTTAGCTCAGACACAAATAATTCACATCTGACCACTGAAATGCAAAACCTCACATTCACATCCAATTAAGAGGGTATTTTCTGCCAGCATATATTTCAGAACTACTAAAGACCGAATTAAAGTTTGGATATTAAAAATTAATATTACAAGACCTTAAAAAGGTTTGGTTGTATCCTGAACCTGAACTTCTCAAGAAAAACTACTGACATCCCCCCCGGCATTCGATCTCTACAGTCCTGGAGGTGTCTGACTCTGTGGGTCTGCATAAGAGTTCTGTGCCTATTTACACGCCAGACTCCTTCATCACAATGTTCTGCTGTTGTTGGGCAAATTAGTTCTGGCACTGGACAATCTGACCCTCCTGACACTGAAGATCAGGTTGCCTCTGACTTGATAGCTCAGGTATCCAGCTCTGGAGTTGGGGAAATCAACATCAGCTATCAGGAAGGAACCAGAAGTCTGGTTGTGGCAAAAGAGGTAGAAAGCATTCTAGTCTGGGTAGAACTCCACATTCCAGTCTTTTCTGTTGTTCACATAACAGGCATGGACAATTGGTAGGTAGACTACCTCAGCCCATAGCGACTGGCCCCAAGAAAATGTTCCTTATACCTGGAAGTGCTCTGGAAAGTGTGTTAAACTGTATAGGTTTTCCTCCCAGACACTGCATCCATTAGTAAGACTACCACTCTTTTTATCATTCCTTATGATCCCCGGAGAACCAGCTTCTCAATCCACCATTTCCCAGTGGCTCAGAAAAAGAAAGTCTTTTTCTGAGCCACTATCATACAAGTAATTCAACAAAACAATTGCTGCAACAGCACAGAATACGCTTTCTGGAGTGGCCCAGTCAGAGTTCTGACCTCAACCCGATTGAAGTGCTGTGGCATGACCTTAAGAGAGCGATTCACACCAGACATCCCAAGAATATTGCTACACTGAAACAGTTTTGTGAAGAGGAGTGGTCCAAAATTACTCCAGATCATTGTGCAGGTCTGATCTGCAACTACAGGAAACGTTTGGTTGAGGTTATTGCTGCCAAAGGAGGGTCAACCAGTTATTAAGTCCAAAGGTTCACATACTTTTTCCTCCCTGCACTGTGAATGTTTACATGTTATGTGCAATTAAACCATGGCAACATCTAATGTTTGTGTAGTATTATTATGTTCAGCAGACTGTGTTCTTCTATTGTTGTGACTTAGATGACGTTCAGAGCACATTTTATGCCCAATTCATGCAAAACTCCATGTAATCCCAAGGGGTTCACATACTTTTTCTTGCAACTGTACAGTAGTTGTTGCACAAAATACATGAACATTGTATTCCAACAATGACCAGCCCTCATTTGATGCTATCTTCCAGTGTAAGACCCTTCAGGCAGTTCTGTGAGCTGGAGGCAACTGTCAGTTTTATTCACATTGTCATGTGGGCCTGTGAAGCAAGACATAGATTATACAGTTGTCTTTCCTTCCACCATTTATTTGTGTATACAAAAAAAAAAAAATTATAAATACTTTTTTTCTCCTTTTTTTGTAAGTGATCACATACCCTCTGTTCTCAGCTACATAAGAGCTAGGGGAGGAGAAACAGCAGCACACTGGTCTTCCCAGTGAATGGCTGTGCAGGGGGTGCATGTCGGCACACGTTTGATCAATGGAGAGCAGGCTCAGTTCTCAGCACAGCTAGAAAACTTACCACGCTTTACTCTCACTATGGTGATACTAAACTACTCTGATGAAAGTATGTGACATTTTTTTTAAATGGTAAAAAGAAGAATACAAAGTTTAAAACATTTTATTAAAAAAATGATTTTTTTTTTAAATATATTTTTTTCATATACTGCCACCAGTCAGTATCACTGCCACACCAATCATATGATGATGCTGTACTGCATTGGTGACAATATGCAAAAAAATTGTGAAAAAAACATTTATTCAATTTCTTCATTTTTCAAACAATTGTGACAAAAAATTACATCAGAACCCCTTACTAAATACCTTGGACTGTCTACTTTCCAAAAAGGGGTAATTGGGAGGTATTTGTACTGCTGGGCCTCAAGAAATTAGATATCAGTACATCAGAATTGATCAGTTTTCAAATATATACTGTATACCAGGGGTATTGAATTAAAATTCATGGAGGTCCAGTCAGTAAAAGATTCTTCCAACAGAGGTACGGATTGCATGTTTGTGCCATGATTCAGACCCTTCACATCGCAATCCCCATCTCCTCTTATGTTCATATCTCTATGGCTGGAGAATGGTCGTGAAAGTTAACGTGCTGTACTTCATCAGATGTGCGAGGGTGTCATTAATTCTTAAATGCGACCCCACACATTGCCACCTATGGCACATTTTCACACACACCAAGCAGCTTAGTGCAGTGCGATTTTAAAAGAAGGGTCAGGAATGTCTTCCCTGTCTTTCTTTAGGGTAGGGCAGCACTTTAAAATGAATGGGCTGCCCAACCTGTGATGCGTGCATGCAAAGTTCTCTCTTTACACCACAATTCCCTCCCTTTCACATCAAAATCCCTCTTCGCATTACTGTTCTTAGTCCCCCCCATAGTTGCCCCCTATTACTATCCTTGGCTTCCCCCATTACTGTCCTCAGCCCCGCTATAATTATCTTCAGCCCCCCATTACTGTCCTAAGTCCATCCAGAATTGTCCTCAGCTCCCCCATAAATGTCCTCAGCTACCACATAATTGTCCTCAGCTCCCCCATTAATGTCCTCAGCTACCACATAATTGTCCTCAGCCCCCCATCAATGTCCTCAGCTCCCCCTCACATTAATGTCCTCAGCCCCCCCCCACATTACTCTCCTCAGTCCCCCCCACTCACATTACTGTCATCAGACCCCCATTAATGTCTTGAGCCCCCCTACTCACATTACTGTCCGCAATCCCCCCCCCCACACTCACATTACTGTCCGCTGTCCTCACCTCCTCAAATTACTGTCCTCAGCCCCCCCTCACATTACTGTCCTCAGCCCCCCCCTCACATTACTGTCCTCCCCCCCCCCCCCCCCCACTCACATTACTGTCCACAATCCCTCCTCACATTATTGTCCTTAGCCCTTCCACTTACATTATTGTCCTCATTCCCCCCCCCCCATTACTGTCCTCCGCCCCCACCCCTTACATTACAGTTCTCAGCACCCCAATAATTGTCCTTAGCCCCCCATTACTGTCCTCAGCTCCCATTACATTACAGTTTTCAGCCCCCCTATAATTGTCCTTAAACCCCCACTCCTGTCCTCAGTCCCGCTTACATTACAATTTCAGACCCCCTATAATTATCCTTAGCCCCCCTTACATTGCAGTTCTCAGCCCCCCCCATAATTGTCCTTAGCCCCCCTTTACTGTGCTCAGCCCCCCTTATATTTGTCCTTGGCTCTCCCATAATTGTCCTCAGCTCCCCACATTACTGTTCTATCTCCCATTATTGTCTTAAGCAGCCTTACTTCACATTCCCCCCCTCCCTCCCTCTCCCTCCTGTCCTACCTTACACAGGAGAGCAAGAGGCACAGGAAGTCTGGACAGAGGCAGGGAGCTGCAAGCTGGTGATTGGTTGCTAGGACCGACCTAGGTACCAATCAGCTGCCTGATAGCTCAGGAAGCAAACCCTCCATGCTGAGCTGTCTTTCCTCCCGCTGTAGGCTACGAGAATAACAGTGGTGATGGTGGCAGGGAGTAACAGGCTTCTAAATGGCGAGACAGCGGCGGTCCTGGCAGGAGAGCGAGTTGGTCCACATACGGCCCACGGTCTGCCGCTTAGTGATGCCTGCTGTATACCATAGATATTGTAGATTCTATAACTTTCACACAGACTAAATAATATACACTGATTTGGATTATTTTTACTAAAGAAATGTAACAAAATACATTTTGGCTTAAACTTCTGAAGAAAGATTATTTATTTGCAAAAAAGTAAAACAGAAACTTAGAAAATATGTTATTTTTCAACATTTTCTATATTTTTTGTTTAAATAGGCACAAAATAAAAACCCAGTAGTTATTAAATAGCACCAAAAGAAAACTTTATTTGTGAAAGAAAAATGATAAGATTTTATTTGGGTACAGTGTTGCAGAACCAAGCAATAGTTAACCGCTAGCCTACAGGGCACTTATACTCCCTTCCTGCACAGGCCAATTTCCAGCTTTCAGCGCTGTCGCACTTTGAATGACAATTGCGTGGTCATGCAACACTGTACCCATATGAACTTTTTATCATTTTTTTTGTGACAGATAGAGCTTTATTTTGGTGGTATTTAATCACCTCTGGGTTTTTTTATTTTTTCTTAAACAAACCAAAAAACACTGAAAATTTTGAAAAAAAAAATTTTTTTCTTAGTTTTTGTTATAAAATTTTGTAAAAAAGTGATTTTTCTCCTTCACTGATATGCACTAATGAGGCTGCAGTGATGGGCACTGATAGGCTGCACTGATGGACACTGATAGGGGGCACTGATGAGGAGGCACTGGTAGGTGACACTGATGGGCATTGACAGGCATCACTGATGGGCACTGAAACGCAGCACTGATACATGGCACTCACATATGGCACTGATAGGCAGCTCTGATAGGCAGCTGGGGCTACACTGATCATCAGGGCACACTGATCATCAGTGCCCTGATGATCAGTGTACATGTCCCCTCCACGGAAAGCCGATTACCGGCTCTCCTCTCCTCTCGAGCTGTCAGCGTGACAGCTCGAGAGGAGAGAAATGCCAATAACCGGCATTTCCCTGTTTACATGTGATCAGCTGTGATTGGACACTGCTGATCACATGATCGAGCCGACATCTTCAGCTCTTTCCATGATCGGTGATCCGCTGTGTCCGAGGGACACAGTGCACCGCCGATCACCGCGCTGCGCGCTCCCTGAGATGCGCATGCGCGGTGAGAATGGGAGGACATCATATGACATCCTCCCAGAACGAGAGGACCACCTTGCATCCGTCATATTACTATATGGCGGGCGGGAGGTGGTTAAAGCAGCACAGAGTTGAATAGCAAAAAATGTCCTGGTAATGAAGGGGTTAAAACCTTCCGGAGATCAAGTGGTTAAACGAGTAGTGGTGTCTTTCTCTGCACAGCTATTCATGTCTATGGTGTGTCTGTATGCAGCACCTGGACTTCTTGGGCATGGAAATACATCTGGTTTTCATTTGCCTGTGTGCATGAGGCAAGATGGCTTCTGAGAGTTATGGGAGCTCCTTTTAACTAACTTTAACTTGTTATTTTATTAACATAGCTCCATAACTAACCCTTTCTGTTGATGTTTTTTACACAGAAAGAGAAAAAAAACACAGTAAAAAAAATAGGTAAAAAATTTTTTTAAAGAATATATATATATATACATGATTTTGCGCATCCGTGCCACCCTGTAGCAGTACTTCTGCTATAGAGCGGACAGGATGCGGTTAAATAGAATGGAGAATTAGAATACTTGTCAGATTTGAATTTTTGTCTAAGATTCACCCTCTCTATTTGTTCTAATGACTTATATCACAGAGCGTGAAAGAAAAACCTAATGTTTGGGTTGTCACCAGAACAGGAATAGTGGGCAAATCTTCCAGTGGGTTCACTAGACAACCAGAGATTCCCTCACTTTGAAAGGATTTCCTCTCACTTCCTGTTATGGCTATGGGACAGGCCGTAAAGGGGAAATCTACCCAATGGAACACAGATGTATACGGATTTGGAGTCTTATATACCCCAGATTCCTCCATAAAGGGTACAAGTCACATGCCTATTGCTGTCACAAGGGGTATTTACATTCCTTGTGGCAGCAATAAAAGTGATCAAACAACAACAAAAAATTTGAACCAACAGTGTAACAATAAAAAAAAATAAAATAAATTAATAATTAAAAAAAATAAAATATAGTGCCCACGAGCGCAAACAGTGAAGTATCAGTGCAAACATCAGACCCTGGGCAGTACTTCTAGAACTAGACCTCCTCTGTAAATCTACACTGTCTGCACAATTATTAAGAAAGATGTACTATTGAGGATTAATTTCAATAACTACAGTGCTCTCGGTCAATCCAAGTTGTTAATAAAACTCAAACCTGAATATTTAGGAAAGTAAATGTGAAGTTTTGGATTTCTTATGAGAATATCTGTGTGCACAATTTTTGGGCAGCTATTAGTGTGCAGAATTACTATGCATCCAGGGGCGGACTGACCATTTGGAAACTCGGAAACTGCCCGAGGGCCCGGGGTCAGTAGGAGGCCACATGAGATGCCCCTGGTACTTTTTTCATAGGCTTTTTTGAGTTTGGGCAAGGACACAGGGGCCCCATGATCCCCTATTTCCCAGGGGGCCCAATGAGTTGTCAGTCCGCCCCGTATGCAACTAAATGAAAAATGAAAATGTTCCCATCTCACTTGTTTATTTTCATCTGTTAACGTGAGAATAATAAACAACTCAAAATTTACAAATAAACAGTTAGTGGCAGATAGTGACCAATATAGCCACCCTTCTTTTCAATAACAATCACGAGCCTTCCATTCATGGAGTCTGTCAGTTTCTTGATCTGTTAAAGATCAACTTTTTGTGCAGTAGCAGACATCGTTCAGAGAGGTGTACTGTTTTCCTTCATCGTAAATCTCCTGTTTAAGAAGGGCCCACAAGTTCTCAAAAGGGTGTAGGTCAGGTGAGGAAGAGGGCCATGTCATTCTTCCAGCTTTATGGTTCTTACTGATTAGCCACGCAATGGAGTACTTTGATGCATGCGATGGAGCATTGTCCTGGATAAATATCATGGTCTTCTTGAAATATGTAGTTTTTCCTGTGCCACTGCTTGAAGAAAGTGTCTTCTAAAAACTGGCAGTAGGTTTGGGAGTTGATTTTAAGTCCATCTTCAACCCGGAAAGGTCAAACTATCTCATCTTTAATAATACCAACCCATACCAGTACCCCACCTCCACCTTTCTGGTGTCTGAGTTGAAGTGGAGCTCTGTGCCCGTTACTGATCCAGCCACTGGCCCACCCATCTCGTCTTTCAAGAATCACTTTTATCTCATCAGTCCTTAAAACTTTTGAAAAATCTGTCTTCAGATATTTCTTGGCCCAGTCTTGACATTTCAACTTGTGTGTCTTGTTCAGTGGTGGTCGGGTTTCAGCCTTCCTTACCTTGGCCATGTCTCTGAGCACTGAACACCTTGTACTTCTGGGCACTCCAGGTAGGTTGCAGTTCAGGAATATGACAACATTGGAGGTACAATGGGTTCCTGGTAGCTTCACATTTGATTCTTCTCAAATCTTTGGTAGTTAGTTTGCTCCTTTTTTTCTGAACATGTTTCTAGCAACCCTGTTGACTATTTTCAACAAAATGTTTGATGGTTCTGTGATCACGCCCCAATATCTTAGCAATTTCACAAGTTCTACATTCCTCTGAAAGACATTTTACAATTTTTTACTTTTCATAGCCAGTTAAACCTCTTTTTTAGCCCATTTTGCTTGAGGAAGCTGCCTAATAATTATGCACACCTTGATATAGGGTGTTGATCTCCTTAAGCCATATCCTCCCTCATTACACAAATACACATCACCTGATATGCTTAAATCCAATAAGCATTCAAGTTTATACAACTTGGAGTTGGACAATATGCATAAAAATGATGATTTGGTCAAAATACTCACTTGCCTAATAATTGGCAACACAGTGTAAAGTGGTAAATTGTAAGGGCTTTTAAAGCGTCACCTATGGATAGTAAAATTTACTTTGTCTCTGTTCCTGTCAGGGACCCTGTCGCCGTGCAGCCGTGTAACGGTGACAGGTCCCTTTGGGTCGTGGCGGTGCAAGTGCGCACGCGCTGAAGCGTGCAGGCGCGCATGCGCAGAAGCGCAGTAGAGCCCACGTCACCGCCAGGCGGGCTATTTAAACCTGCAATACAGTACAACCAATGCCTTCTGGTCTACAACGTTCCTGCACTATTACCTGATCCTGTTACTTATATTCTGACCTCACCTGACTAAGAAAGAACTCCGCCTGCACTGACCTCGGCTATCCCTGACCATCCGCTTGCCTGCTCCCTTGTACTTGATCTGCCTGCTTAATACTGACCCGGCTTGTCTGACTCTGCTGCATCTCCTTACCTGCACCTGCCTTGGATCCGGACGGCTGCCATACTTACCTGCTGCTGCGCTCACGGTCCTGCACCTGGCTTGCATTCTGACATTTGCCATACTTACCTGCCGCTGCACCCACAGTCCTGCACCTGGCCTGCATCCTGGTCACATCCATATTTACCTGCTACCGTATCCACGCTCTGGTGTCCAGTCCCAGTCTGCATCCTGATTGCCGCCATACCTGCCTGCTGCTGCACCTACGTTCCTGCATCCACACCTGGCCTGCATCCGGATCTCCTGGGTCTTCAGTTGCCTGCCGCCAGCTCCAGTTCCACCCGGCACTCGTGCCACTCCTGGCTCTGCGCCCTCTGTTCCCACTATCAGGGGCTTCGAGCGGGAGTCGTAAGAGGACGCATTCTCTCCACGTCAGGCTCCCCAAGCAGGTACGTGACAGTTCCACAAGCAATTTTAAAGCATGACATATCTGGCATCTATTTGTGTTTGCAAACTGCTATGCAAGTACCGGTTGGCACAAAAAAAATTGCAAAAGCCATCAATTTATTCTCTAGGGCCTCTGCTTTGAAAAAATATATAATGTTTAGGGGTTCTAACTAATTTCTCAAAAAATACTGATTGTTACATGTAAACAAAGATTGCCAGAAATGGCCTGGAGCTCAAGTGGTTATTGGCACCCCAAATGCGGCTAGCAGATGCGCAAGGCTCACCTTCAAAAAAAGGTGTAGGAGCTAGTTTGGCAGGTTTGTCACGCACAGGTCAGCCCATTCAAAGGGCTGCTCTATGCTGCCACGTGGCAAACACATAAAAGGCTCAAGTACAATATTCCCAACACACATGTTCCTGAAACTGGCTGTAGGTATAGGTAGGTCCTGTAGCGACCACGGGTTTGAACCAAGAATGCTCAAAGCGAGAAGCATGTAACCAGCACCCTGGGATCTCCAAAGTGGGTGTCAAGGCTCCAGGTATGACCAGAGGTGTGTGGACCGACACAGGGAAACACAGACTCCAGGTATAGCGTGTAACACAATATAATTTATTAAAGGCAACACAAACATAAACATGTACAACCAGGTGCAATAAACCTTAAACTAATAATAGGTACCAGTGCAGTCAGGGCTCCGGATGGCTGCCATACTTACCTGCTGCTGGAGCGGTCAGGCAGGCCGAGCCCACAGCACGGATTTCCTCAGGGCGCGGGGTCTAAGTCCCAGCCTGCTATTCACCAGGGCCCCTGATGGTGGGGATGGACTTGGTGCAGACTGGAACCAGGTCGCGACCCCTGAGTGCGTCCGGCTGTGGTAGAGAGTACTGGCAGGGGAGTGCGGGAACGGAGTCTGATGGGAAGAGGCAGGCAGACTTACTGAAGTGATCCGTGCGGGATGGATGGATGGATCGTCGGTTGAAGTAAGCGTAGTCAGGCAGGCCGGGTCGGTATCGTGCGGGCAGCGAGGTACAAGAGGAGCAAGCAGAGAATGGTCGGGGTCACAAGCCAGGTTCAGCAGGTTGCGGGCAGCGCGGTACCAGGGATCAAGCAAAAGAGTAGTCAGGCAAGCCAGGGGTTAATCAGGAGAATAGCAGGATCAGGAACAAGCAGAGGTCAGCAACGGAATGAACACAGGAACAATATCAGGAACAGAGCAGGTAAGAGACAGGATACAGGGAACAGGGCACATGGGAAACATACACCAAGACCCTGATCACAGGCCTGGTCATTCCTTAAAATACACTTCCTGCAATCAGCTTCAGGTGTTGGCTGACTGAAGGAGTGAGCTTCTGGCTGCTGAGAGCACCCGCTGGTCAGCCCTGGTACTGCAGCCCACACAGCAGGTGAGTCCCACCACCAGTGCTGAGTCCATTCCTGACAGTACCCCCCCCCTCAAGGAGCGGCCTCTGGACGCTCCAAACAGTCCTTAGTGGGCAAAATGTTCCACCGCCCGGGTCAGATAACTGGCTGTATATCTTACTGCCGGAGTCAACCGGCTGGCTGGGTTTCCTGCTGGCAGACTTCTCTTTATGTAGGGGAACGCAGGAAGGCAGGTCGCTGGACACAGGATTTCCAGGAGCAGGCTGGGAATCAGTTATTGGCCAGTTTAGCTGGACATCAGGGGCTGGCACATCAGGCAGCAGACAGAGGCATGTCAGGATGGGCAGCGGGCAGAGGCACGTCAGGCTGGGCAGCAGGGGCAGAGGCACGTCAGGCTGGGCATTTGGAGGCACGACAGCGGGCACCGAGTCATTTGGCACGACAGCGGGCACAGAGTCATCGGGCAAGTCAGTCAGCGGGCACCGAGCCATCTGGCACGACAGCGGGCACGGAGTCATCAGGCACGTCAGTGGGCACCGAGCCATCTAGCAGAACCGCGGGCACCGGGTCACCAAGCTCGACAGCGGGCACCGAGTCATCTGGCACGGAGTCACCGGGCAAGTCAGCGGGCACAGAGTCATCGGGCACCGAGTCATCTGGCACGACCACGGGCACTGAGTCACTGGGCAAGTCAGCGGGCACCGAGTCATCGAGCACGTCAGTGGGCACCAAGCCATCTGGCACGACAGCAGGCACGGAGTCATCGGGCACGTCAGTGGGCACCGAGCCATCTAGCAGAACCGCGGGCAATGGGTCACCAAGCTCGACAGCGGCCACCGAGTCATCTGGCACGACAGCGGGCACCAAGTCATCTAGCAGAACCATGGGCACCGGGTCACCAAGCTCGACAGCGGGCACCAGGTCATCTGGCAGGATAGCGGGCACCAGGTCACCGGACAAGTCAGCGGGCACCAGGTCACCGGGCAAGTCAGCGGCACCAAGCCATCTGGCACGACAGTGGGCACCAAGTCATCTGGCAAGACAGCGGGCACCAAGTCATCTGGCAGAACAGCGGGCACCGAGTCATCTGGCAGAACAGCGGGCAACGAGTCACCAAGCTCAACAGCGGGCACGGAGTCATCTGGCACGACAGCGGGCACCGAGTCATCAAGCAACGAGCCATCTAGCAGAACCGCGGGCACCGGGTCACCAAGCTCGACAGCGGGTACCGAGTCATCTGGCACAACCGCGGGCACGAGTCATCTAGCAGAACCACGGGCACCGGGTCACCAAGCTCGACAGCAGGCACCAGGTCACCGGGCAAGTCAGTGGGCACCGAGTCACCGGGCAAGTCAGCGGGCACCGAGCCATCTGGCATGACAGCGGGCAACGAGTCATCTGGCACGACAGCGGGTAACGAGTCACCAAGGTCAACAGCGGGCAACGAGTTATCTGGCACGACAGCAGGCACCGAAGTCATCTGTCACGACAGCGAGCTCCGAGTCATCTGGCAGAACCGCGGTCACCGGGTCGCCAAGCTCGACAGCAGGCACCGAGTCATCAAGTACGACAGCGGGCTCCGAGTCATCTGGCACGACAGCGGGCTCCGAGTCATCTGGCATGACAGCGGGCTCTGAGTCATCTGGCACGACAGTGGGCTCCGAGTCATCTGGCACGACAGCGGGCACCATGTCATCTGGCACGACAGTGGGCACCATGTCATCTGGCAGGACAGCGAGCACCAGGTCATCTGGCATCAGGTCATCTGGCTCGACAGCGGGCACCGGGTCATCTGGCTCGACAGCGGGCATCGGATCATCAGGCATCAGGTCATCTGGCTCGACAGCAGGCATCAGGTCATCAGGCATCAGGTCATCTGGCTTGACAGCAGGCACCGAGTCAACTGGCACGACAGCGGGCACCGGGTCATCAGGCATTGGATCGTCTGGCTTGACAGTGGGCACCAGGTCATCTGGCAGGATAGCGGGCAACAGGTCATCTGGCAGGACAGCGGGCAACAGGTCATCTGGCAGGACAGCGGGCACTGGGTCATCAGGCATCGGATCGCCTGGCACGACAGCGGGCACCGGGTCATCTGGCATCAGGTCATCTGGCTCGACAGCGGGCACCGAGTCATCTGGCATGATAGGATCATCAGGCTGGGTAGGAACATCAGGCTGGGTACAACCATCAGGCCGGGCAGAACCATCAGGCCGGGCAGAACTATCAGGCTGGGTAGCGTACACTGGGTCATCAGGCATCAGGGTATCAGGCTGAACCATGGAAGGCGGGTTCTCAGACAGCAGACTGACCGGTTTGGATACTGGCAGGATGGTACTGGTTGGAAAGAATTTTTGCCTTTTCCTGGTTTTCGTTACTGGAGTACTGTAAGTGGAGGTTTGTAAACAGATAGAGCAGCTGTAGGCAGAGAAGAGCTGGGGGATGGAACAAAGGAAGGAGCAGTTGCTACAGAGGACTTCTTTACAGGGTTAAAGGCAGGATAGGTGCAGCGAGTGGGAGCAGGGTACTGACAAGTGGTAGGTAGTAGGGTATACTGGGCTGTCACTGGGGGTGCTGTCGGGAATGCAGGAAGAGAGCTTTGAGCAGAGAAATGATGAGAAGAAGGACTGGTTTGTTGCAAGCTGACTGAGGTTGGGTGTAACAACTCTGACCATATCTGCAGTACGGGTTGAACAAAGCTCCACTTACACAAAGCCTGTCTGGTCAAATACTGCACTGCGTTTATACAATCCCTTAGTACCTGTTGTGAACATGCAGAATAATGCTCCAAGAAGCACTCCACATCATCCTCTAATAACCATACCAGGGACTCTACCTGGTCTGCACTAAATGGCGGCAAAAAGTCATTCCTGCTTTCAGGGGTACCAGATGAAGCCAACTCTGCACAAACCTGAATCAAAGGTTGCACCTCAGAGAATTCTGTGCCCTGATCTACTAGAACATGAGCGACCCGTATACATCCTAGCAGTTGATCCCGGGTATACTCCTTCAGAGTCTGATAAGCATAATCTCTGTCATCAAAGACCAGCAGAGACAAATACATAACCTCATCAGGATGCATCCTTCCCAGCAACAAGCCAAGATGGCTTCCCTGTGCAGCCACTTCTGGTCAGGAGTGGCCTTGGTGTAATGTCAAGGCTCCAGGTATGACCAGAGGTGTGTGGACCGACACAGGGAAACACAGACTCCAGGTATAGCGTGTAACACAATATAATTTATTAAAGGCAACACAAACATAAACATGTACAACCAGGTGCAATAAACCTTAAACTAATAATAGGTACCAGTGCAGTCAGGGCTGGAGAGGTGGAGCGGTCAGGCAGGCCGAGCCCACAGCACGGATTTCCTCAGGGCGCGGGGTCTAAGTCCCAGCCTGCTATTCACCAGGGCCCCTGATGGTGGGGATGGACTTGGTGCAGACTGGAACCAGGTCGCGACCCCTGAGTGCGTCCGGCTGTGGTAGAGAGTTACTGGCAGGGGAGTGCGGGAACGGAGTCTGATGGGAAGAGGCAGGCAGACTTACTGAAGTGATCCATGCGGGATGGATGGATGGATCGTCGGTTGAAGTAAGAGTAGTCAGGCAGGCCGGGTCGGTATCGTGCGGGCAGCGAGGTACAAGAGGAGCAAGCAGAGAATGGTCGGGGTCACAAGCCAGGTTCAGCAGGTTGCGGGCAGTGCGGTACCAGGGATCAAGCAAAAGAGTAGTCAGGCAAGCCAGGGGTTAATCAGGAGAATAGCAGGATCAGGAACAAGCAGAGGTCAGCAATGGAATGAACACAGGAACAATATCAGGAACAGAGCAGGTAAGAGACAGGATACAGGGAACAGGACACATGGGAAACATACACCAAGACCCTGATCACAGGCCTGGTCATTCCTTAAATACACTTCCTGCAATCAGCTTCAGGTGTTGGCTGACTGAAGGAGTGAGCTTCTGGCTGCTGAGAGCACCCGCTGGTCAGCCCTGGTACTGCAGCCCACACGGCAGGTGAGTCCCACCACCAGTGCTGAGTCCATTCCTGACAGCGGGTCCAAAGCTTTATTCAGAAATCACATCATGGGTATAATAGCGATGTTTTGGAGATATGCAGGACCCCATTACATGTCTGTCGAAGGGGTCCTGTGTGGCTCAAAAACGTTGATTATTATAACCATGTAACCATGATGTGATATATATCGGAATTAAGCTTTGGACCTGTTTTGGAGAGATCCAGCCACTGCTGCGCTGGTGTGCAGTGCAGTTCAGCCCAGTGATGATGCTTTGAGTTCGCTGTTTCCTTTTTTTTACTAACTTTATTGAGATGTCTAAAAAAGACATCTAATAAAGCTCAATAGCCAGCCTCATGGTGCGAGGTAGTGGATTGCCTCTCACTGCACTGAAAAAAAGTACACCATGCAGGACTATTTCTCTGCAACACAGTGGTGTGAACTGGGCACATAGGAGACAAGGCATTTTGTGGTGGGAATGCTCTGGAATAGCTTCCCAATGCAGTTCCACTGCATCTAATGCGAACCAACTCTTAACCACTTTAATACCGCCCTATAGCAGATGCACTGCTACAGGGCAGCCACTCTGTGCAAAATCCCGTAAACATACATGATTTTACATCTCCAGGTAGGGGGCGCACATGCCGCCCTACCCGCATTGTCATTGGCTCCCAGAGATGTCAATTACTGGGTCCTGGCCAGCATTTCAAGGCTGGGACTTGGTGCTCTGCGGAGCAGCTGACAGGGAAGAGATCTGAGTGTAAACAACACAGATCTCTCACCTGTCAGCGAGGATGTGCTACTTTCTATCTCTCTGCAAAACAGAGATGAAAACCAGCATGTCCCCTTGTAAAACAGCAAGTACAAAACAGTATACAGTCAAACCTTTGATCGCCTCAGATGTTAATCCCTTCCTGCCCATTGTTATTAGTACAGCGATCAGTGCTTTTTATTAGCACCAATCACTGTATTAGCGTCACTGGAGATGTCAGTGGCAGTTAGTCAGTTCCCACCCAGTGTCAGTTAGTGTCAGAGTCCTGCTATAAGTTGTTGATTGCCACCATTACTAGAATAAAAAAAAATTCCAGTACATATACTGCCATTTGTAGTTGCTATAACTTTCACGCAAACCAATATACACTTATTGGGATTTTTTTTTACCAAAGACATGGAGTAGAATTAATTTTGGTCAACATTTATAAAGAAGTTTGATTTTTTTTATTTTATTCGATATGTTTTATAGCAAACAGTAAAAATCATCTTTTTTTTTAAATTTTCGTAGTAATCATGAACCACCAAAAGAAAACTCTCGTTTACATTTCGGCCTAAATTTATGAAGACATTTTATTTTTTATGGGGTACGTTTTATAGCAAAAAGTAAAAAAAAGATATTTTTTTTTCTGGACTTTTTTCATTTTTAGTGCAAAAAATCCAGTGAGTATGAAATACCACCAAAAGAAAGCCCTATTGTGTTAAGAAAAAATGATATAAATTGCATTTGTGTACAGCAGTGTTGCATGACCGTGCAACTGTCAGTTAAAGTAACGCAGCACCATATAGCAAAAAATGGGGGGGGAGCACTAAATCTTTCAGAGGTCAAGTGGTTAACTACTTGGCAACCGCGCCATAGCCCAATGATGGCTACAGCGCGGTTGTCCAGTTCTGGGAGGGTGTCAGAGCGGTGCGCACCCGGCGATCTCTGGAAAAAAGCATTTCATTAGTGCCAAGTATCTGCATTATGCTTAAAGGGTCAGTCCACTCAGACATATTCATTTCTAGTAGATGCTGGGGAAAGTGGTTCTAAAGCCTTAAAACGGTAGTAAACCGCAGATAATAAAACAAAGAAAAGAA